TATGTTTCATTTATTTCGTTGATTTAAATTTTTAATTTTAAATTTTTACAGTTAAAAACTCTTAAAAATATCACATTTATTTTTTTATATTATAATTAAAAATTTTAAAAAAATATTACATCTTAACTAAATTAAAAATTTAAATATGCTCAGAGAGCAAAACGGTAGAGACAGGAGGGCCTACCATCCCTGTAGATACAAATCCAGCGAATTTACATGAAAGAGTCCATTTTGCAAGACTATCTGCAAGCCTATTACAAACTCTCGGGATCCAACTCAGAGACACGCGGAAACTATTTATAAAACGTTTCAAAGTTACGACGCAAAGGCTCCAGCTTGGTAACTGGGAATATGAGTCATAACAAATGGACAGCTGAGATTGACGGGTTCACACGATTTATTAAATCAGATTTTTGTTAATCCACACAACTCTTCATCTTCATGGTCCACAAGTTCGTGAGTCAGAACAATAAAGTACTAGCAAACAGTTTTGATTTGGGCTTAATAGACTATGTGCTTGTTTTTTTTTTTTTTTTTTTTTTTTTTTTTTTTTTTTACTAAAATCTCATTTATTTTACTAATTTAAATTTAAAATTTATATTTTTTTTACAGTAAAAAATTTTCAGAAACAGTCACATTTAATTTTTTTATTATAGTAAAAAGCTCTTATATAAAGTTACATCTAAACTCGAATTAAAAACTCGAATCAGTGAACTAAACGGATCCTAAAACTCAAAATAAAATTGAACTCAAGTTACAATTTTATTTAAGTTCATGTTCGTTTGTAAAATTTGAGTTTTAACTTGAGTTCAAGTTTTATTTTCAACTCAAGTTCTTAAAACTCAAACTCAAGTTAATAAACACTATTTTTTCTATTATTAAAAATGTCATAACTTTTTCGTTTTAATTCCGATTAAGATGATTTTTTTCTATGCGTTCACAACGAAAAGACGAATAAAACCTCACCCATATATCCTATTAAAATTTTTCATCACCATTGAGTTTTTATTAAAATAATATCTAAATACAAATTCAAGTTTTGACCCACTCAAACACAAAATCAAATAGATTCTCAATTCAAATCATAACTCAAATGTGCACATCCAAATACAAACTCAAATTACAACTTCAACTCAAATTATAACTCAAATTTAACTCAAAATCTATACTTTAGTCACCGTAACAAAAAAATACAACCAAACAAACCCATATTTGTTCTCCACTTTTTGGTATTTTTCTGCTTAAAGCATGTGAATCCAGTGCCTCATAGCGTTACGTCACTGATACAAATTAGAAATAACGATGACATTTTTAATCTTTGATTCTTAATGCAATACCAAACACTCCTAACTAATTAGGAAATTGTTTTGTGGTGTTTTTCTAGTGGTTACTAGACTTTAATGAACTTTTAAGTATTGTAAACGTACTGACTATAGTATGATAATTATACATTTGATTTATCAGAAAAAAGCCCAGGGTGCATCAAGACAAAAACAGGGTGGGAAGTAAACTAGTATAACTTAAGATATGACCTGTAAATATGATATATATTCAAATATAAAGAGGCAAAAAGTAAGTTCTCTCTTTTTCTTTTTTTTTTCCTTCGGCTAAAGCTAAATTTAGCATTGTTGATTCCACCAGAGTACCCAAGCTATTTATTTTATTAGAGAGAAAAGAAAAATCTGCCCAGAATTAAATTGAACAATTAAAGTTGCCGTGAATGGCTTAAAAAACTAAATGAAGAAAGATAAAGACATTCATAATTTAAAGCCAAAAACCAAGAAAAGAAAAAGCGGACGTAATAGCTTAAAAATATTCGTTACTAAATATTTGAAGCAATAACAAGCATATCTTTATTAATTAGCTTTTATACACAGAATATTCTGTTATTAATTAATAGTACACTTTTATTTCTCACAACACCCGTAAATATAACAATATATAGGTGTATATATATGTGTATATATATACTCTTCATACGCATACATGCAAAGACTCTGACCGATCATCCTCATACTGTCCATCATCATCGGCATATATAAATAAATTTTGCGAGCTTCAAGGGCACTTGCGTCTGCCACCGTGGGTGGTCATGTTGGCATAGCAAGGGCAGACCTCTTGGTTACCGGCTGTCCCCGGTGGAACACAATTACACCGCTGGCAGCAGGTGCCACAAGCCCTATTGCAGAGGCGAGGCCTCGAGGATAACCGACACCTGGCAGCGCATGACCCCCTGCAATCTAAAAAAAAAAACAAAAAAACAAAACAAGAATTTACTAAATCACTAAAACTAAATAAACGACATGCCCACTTGGTCGATATATATATAGATGTGTAATTAACTTGTACATGTATATTGATAAGAGAAGACGGATTTGAAATTTGATTAACAAATTAATTAGTACTCACCTATTTTTCCATTGGGAGAACCCTTAGCGACGTTTCCATTCACCTGAAAAATTTTAAATATATTTAGGTTATTTTATAACATTACGTGTTTTTGTGTAAAGCTAATATTAATCTTGATGATCAGAACAACTTACAGTTTCATCAGCTTCCACGAGATTGAGAACAAGAAGGGAAATGAGAAGTGAAAGAATCACAACCTTGGAGATGGCCATGGATGAGGACTTGGATATTGTAGCTAGAGTTGTATATGTCGTTTCAAACTAATTGAAAGCTTAATGTATAGTTTGTGTGTAAAATGAGATGCATGGAGTCGTATTTATAGCCGAGAGTTTGCGATCGAGTTAGGAGTGATAAGAAAGGCAAAGTACATGCAATAAGGACGGCATTGTCTTTTAGCAATAATTAGTACGCGGAATTGAGATTTTATTACAAAAAAGAAACAGAAATAAATTTAAAAAAACATGTAATATTTAAAAAAAGAAACCGAAATAAATTAAAAAAAAATGTAATATTAAACAATGGGAAATGTTTTTTATTTTATAAATGTGAGAGGAAAAGAAAAAGTGTTTGTGGAATAGTGACATGTCAAGGAGAATGATCTTACTGATCATCATATTCATGTACAGTGAAAGCATTTGGAATCATCTGGAAGAATGTAGATGATCACCTATTATCATTTTACATGGTGCATTGTGTTCCAGATGGCTGTTGCACGCGCATGGTTTAAATCTGTTTCCTTTTCTTTTTTTCTTTTCTTTTTTTCCCCCCTTTGTCCCTTTGTTTTCTAGTTAAATGTCTGGACAAAATTGATATTTTTTGAACCAAGATGCTAGTTAGTGTTCTTAGCAGTTAAGCTGATTGATAAAAAAACGTAATTAAGCAAGCACATTAGAATCTTCTCTTCTTAATAAACCTAGAGGCTAGCTAGGAACTTTGTCGGTTTATGTTTTTCAATTTGGATAAGCATTTGAAAGGATAATCTTGAATCTCATGATCAGTTTTAAAATGTACGTTAAAAACGAAAAATCTGAAGTAGATAACAAGCAGCCAGCTATGAATTTTCATGAAACTAATATTAATGAAGAGTTGAAAGATATGTATCTTCTTTCTTTTTCGGACCAGCAAGCGCTGACAATTAATTGTTTACGCTAAGTTCCAAGAACTCATTAATTAGTAAATTGTTAGGTTTATCATCTTTCTCTTTCACATCTCACAACCTAATTATGAATATATAATTATATATTACACAAATATATACGCATATACTTATACATATACATATGCATATAACTTGATTCCCTGGCCTACTCTATTGAGTTTGGACTGAACACGCATTATTGGTGTCATGGGATATTTCTTATGAGCTAGTATCTATGTACCTTTAATCATTTGCCAGCCTAGTGAGTAGGCTTCTATCTCTTAGTAATCATTAAAATTAGTACTAAATTAATAACGTTAAATTTATATCCAAGTTTATGACCCATGACCACTATATAGGGAAAAGTCACATTAATGCATTATACAATGAGCACTACCTATAATAATCAAAATTATCGTAAAAGAAAACTAGGTGTTATATATATATATATATATTTCTTTTCTTTCTTCCTTGAATAAAAACAAAACCCCAAATTATAATAACAATTCATTACAAATTCTAAAGAAAAACCAGAAGGATATTCACTTAAAAGACAATATAGCTAGGGCCACCAACACCAATGGATTTTTTATTCATTGTGGGGTTCGGTAGTGGTGTTCATAATGATTTTTCTCACACTAAGTCAGACACTTGAGGCTGGTAAGCCTTCAATTAAATTGAGAAAAATACGCTTTGACTACCTTGCTACACGCTACAGCAAGCAAAGAATAAAATAGAGAGAAAAAAGAGCAGCGATTAATGCTCTTATCTCTATCCACACGTGTGCTTAAAAGGGAAAGGCATTTAGAAAGCGGCGTAATTGGGTTCGTTGTCTGTACTCGTTGAAGCTTCCGGATCAAACCAACTCGACAGCTGTAGTGCTGCTTAAACTTGCTTCACAGCTGTACTAATTTGGTCATGCATATATGGACTTTTGTTCAATGATTTTTTATGATCGACTTTATTTTAATATATATTTTTTCTGCTAATCGACTTTACTCTAATATATTGAGTACATAACATGACTTATAGAGACGCCTTAATTTCTATTTTGCTTTGCTCGGCTTAGGGTGCGTTGTTTCCATTACTTTGAATGAAAAATTTACTGAAATTTAAATTTTTGTTAAAAAAAAGGACATTATATTGAAAAGATTAAACTGTTATTCAAACTAAAAAATACAGTGTCATAATATTACTTTAGAATAGAACAGACTACAACATATATGCATCAAATCCACTAGCTATATGGAATTAAAAAAAAATGTGCCATTTGAGTTGTGGTCTATATGGATAAGGGACTAATCAGTAAGTAATATTGTAATAATGGAGAAGATTGTAACGTATACTTCGTTTGAACACTCAAATTCGAGAAAAGAGTAAAAGACACCAATCAATCATAAACCCGTACTTTGGCAACATTGACAGAGGGGGATATTTGGCCAACCCTTTTGTACGAGCACACTCATTCATCTTGATGGATTTAAAATCCGGCTATTTAGCTAAAGTAAGTCTCGTTAAGTAAGTAGATGAAACTCAATTTAGTGAGACTCACTATTTTATAAATATGAAGTATAATTCTCATCGAGATAAATATCATTTTTCTTTTCGTAAAGTTACATAAAAAATACAATCCATTGCTAAGTCTGCAACCTATAAAGCCATGTTTAGTAACCTGTTTGTATTATATGGTATAAGGTGTATTATATTATATTGTGTTAGATTATCATAGGACAACATGGTGTATGTTTGGTGTCATTGCGTATCATACAAGAGGTCAAAAGGTAAAATTTTAAAAATTTTAAGGTTAGAATGTAATTTTTAAAAAAATTTAAGGTCAAAATATAATTTCTAAAAGTTTTAGGGTCAAAATGTAATATTACAAAATTTTTAGAGCCAAAATATTATTTTATAAAACTTGAGGGGTCAAAATATAATTTTTAGAAATATTAATTTGCATTATGCCTCCTTAATTTGTAAACAATTACAAGCTCATGCATGCCTCTATGTCGAGCCAACCACGACATAAATCATGAATCCATTATAGAGTAATACAATGCAGTACGTCAAAAATGAGTTGTATTCAATAATATGATATAGACCGTGTTAATTTACTATCCAAATTAATTTATATAATATAATGGTCACTCTAAACATTATATTAATGTATTAGTACACATTATAATGCTCTAATACGGTTAAATAAATATGTCCTAAATAGACTAGTTACAACTAGTCATTAGAAAGGTCATATATTTTCAATTAATATCGTGGCTACTAAAATTGCCCCAGGAAGACATCATTAAATCAAAACTTAGGATATCTGTCAAATCATGCTTATCTGTCAAACTTAGGATCTACCTTTATAGTGAATGAGTTTGAATTTTTACTTTTTACTCTTGATTAATATCCTTTTTAGTCAAATAACTATATTAATCAAAAGGATATTAATAAAAAAGAAAGGGTAACATTCAATCCCAAACACTCTAAGTGTAAGTTGAGCAATTTTCTCTAAAACAGTCACATTCTAGGAAACTAAAACACATGGATAATTATAAAGGACATATTTAAGTATTATAGATGACAATATAATAAGCAATTTAAGAAACAGTAAGATTATTTTTAAAAAATAATAAAGGAGCCTTTACGGTGAGACCCCGTAAAATATTCACTAGTAGAAAAAACTCAAGGAGCTAACTTTTTTTTTCTTTACTTTCTTTACCTATGTGTACTTAAGAAAGTTTTAGAAAATTATACAAAGCCCCCTGTAAAAAATTGAAAATACAACCTTATGCCACCTCAAATTTTCTATTGTAGTTATAACCTCCCTCATAAAAATTTCTAGTTTCGTTATTGGAACAACTTGTTTTGACCGTTGGATAACTTTTTAAAGGTGAGATATGTACCGATCCGTATTGAAAATTCATAGCATGCCGTACAAAACTGCTCTATATGTAGATCTGACCGTAATAGGTTTTTTTTTTGGGATCTCCCCATAGAGAAGGCCAAATAGTAAAAGGAAAGAGAAGAAACAAAATACGATTCTTGTAGCAACAAAGGACATCAAGTTCAAAAATTCACAACCGACTTAAAAAGGTCAAGATATTGGCTTAGTTTTGTATTAATTTTGAGAGAGAAAAAGCACTTATTGAGATAGTAAAAACCTTAAAAACTGTTTGATAAAACCCAAAGTAATAGATTTTTGAACAATTTCCTCTCAATCTAAAGTTAAAAGCAGAATTTCTATTTTTTAGCTTATGCAGGAATCCTTTTGAGAGTTTAATGAATTTTTTATTCCCTATTTTACCCCCAATGAAATCTCAAATTCACCACCTGTATTACCACCTGTTCTGAGCTTCTCTTCAACTGTCGTTTGAGCTCTCTCGAAACTCCGTTCTCTCTCTTATCCTCTCGTCCGATCTCTCTCGTCTGATCTATCTCTTCTCCTCTTCTCCTCGCGTTTGATCTCTCTCTCCGTTCGCCGGTTTGTGCTCGTTTGGTTTCTCCTCCGTGCGATTGCTGGTTTGCCGGTCTCTCATCTCCTCCTCTGACTGCCCGTTCTCTTCCCATAAGATCAAGAGGTAAGCCTCTGTAACTAATCAATTTTTAGTGTGGTTCTGGATTTGCTTCTGATTTTTTGTCCGCATCTATTTTAGGTTTTAGGGTTCTGATTTTTTGTGAAAAATTTGGTGGATGGATTTTTTGTGAAAAAATTTTCTTTCTCTGCTATGTAAACCCTTTGTTTGGACCGGATTCTGACTCTATTTAATGTGTATTCACATACTTGGATTATAGCTCATGGATATGGTTATTTAAGCATTTGAATCATTCATGCATATTATTCCAAAAACTGTGAAGAAAAACTTTGTTTTTCCTCTGCTCTGTGAAGAAAAACCGGTGGTTAACCATTTATCTTGAATCAGCTTTCATCCTAACCCTTTAACTTACCTTCATGACAAATTCTATGTCACGGGCATCTGCTGCAAGGGAATTTAACATTATTCCTGTTGTTTGATTTTTCCTTGTTGGTATATCTGTTACCATTATTTCTATTCAGTTACCATTTCCTTACTCTTAATGGCATCCACCTGAGACACATTAGTTGTAACTCATTTATGTTGAAGCAAAACCTGTAATGA